TCTGAAAATTGCACCCAGCTCCAACATTATCAAGCTGACAATCTCTCTCAAATTATTGGTTTTTTAATTTTCCACTAGTACCCACAATATAGCACAGTTTTTTCCCTAAGGCTGTGGTCATCTGTTTTTGCATAACACATTATGAGTTCTAAATAAAGAATTATCATTCATCCTGACACTCCAAACAATCTTGTTTTCCATCAGCTAGAGGACTAATAAACTCCAAATAATTTGAATTTCTATTATTACTTCGTGCATAAAAATGCACAATAAATTACAGCTTCACGATTAAAGTAATTCTTCTGATTTCTTCAACTGTATCTGTGAATATTTTATTCAACCAGAAACATTTCAGGACTTAAAATATTATTTACTTTGTTGCTCATTTAGCTTGTGTGGTTTTGTTGTTGTTTGTTGGGTTTTTTTAAACACCTCCTACATAGCAAGGGCACAGAGTTTCTAGTCAATCTACAGGTGTAACTACATACTGATGTGTACAATCACATCTCTAAAGTGCAGCAGCAGAGCTTGATGCTGAGGAAATGTCTCCATTTACATAATTAAATTCAAAGCATTTAAGGACACGCTTAAGCCAAGCATGTGCCCAAATGCTTTCTAAATAAGAATTAAGGTCTTTTAGTCCTTCTGCTTTGAAGTCCAACCTCCGATGCTTGTTGGTGACATCTACCACTTACAAGACTTTAGGCCTTGCCTTTACTGCCAGGCTCACTTAAGATGGAATTTGCAAATGATACCTTAGGGAGAGACGAGATGCAGGTTTTGTTTTGCAGAGGGAGCATGAGCTGCCTTTAAATCTCATCCCTTGCCAGGGAGCAGTGACACAGGGGCAGTGAGGCAGCAATTAGGGGACCAGGAGTGACCACACAGGGACAGGGGCAGTGACCTGAACAACAAGGGCACAGTCCCACAGCACCCAGGGAACAGGGCTGGAATGGTGACAGGTGCTGCAAGAGCCCAGTGATCATCAGGGAAATGAGGGGTGACAAGCTGGGTCCAAGGTCAGTCTGGGGAGCCCGATCAACAATTCGGGAACAGCGAAGGACAGAGCTGGGGACAAAGGCACTGCCCAGCCTGGGGAGGACTGGGGCTGAAGGGCCACTCAGGGCCTGCCATTTCTTCATGGATTAACATTAGATTTCACCAGTTTTATATTTAAAGAAGCCACCGACAGAAAAATCAATCTCATGCTAGATACAAGAGCAAGCCTCAGGCTCTTGGGCAAACATTTTAGTTGCAGGAATTTATTGCTTTCAGGGAGCCGTTTCTATTGACACTGGAGATACATATGTTTACAGTGGATCTTAGTAAGATCCTAAATCACCTAGAGAAAGGATGAGACAAAATGGTTAATAAACAGAAAAGAGCAATGGCTTAGTGTTCAATCAGTAATACTAAGTTCTTATTCACAGATGCTCTTCAATGACGCTGAAGAAAATGAGAGAGAATGAAGGAACTGTGCCTAGGCCAGTTCGGATCGAGATCAGAGAACTAGAACTTGGATTTCTATTGGATCACAATCTGAACATGAATTATCAATATTGTGCTGGTGCAGAGAAATATCAAATGTACCGGGATGTTCAGTTTTTTAACAATTGTGTTCCTTTTATCTAATGAGTGGAAAATCACAGCAAGACAAGAAATCAGCAGGTCACCTCATCCATTACCAAAGTAGGAACAAACAGATCAACAAAGTGCTCCAGGTTACACATGCCTCTGGAATTATAATTGTGATGTTAATCAGCTTCCTCATACAGTCAACAACAGAGCCCCAGAAAAACTTACGCTGGCATAAGACAGTGTGAGAGAAAATGAGAAGCAAGGGGAAGAGGAACAGCAGGGATGATTTATGGCAGGTGGTTTATACCAGAATAATGTGCTGAACTATTATGCAATTTTATCTTACTGAATGTCTTCTTTATTGTTGATTTTAAAGCATGTTTCTGAATGGTCAAAAATGATCAAAAATGGAATTCTGTGTCCCCCACCCCCCAGCTTTGCATCACCTGCAAAATAAATAGGTATGTTCTCTGTTCCATTGTTTACACTGTTAATAACAAAAAGACGCAGACTGAAGACAAGCTCTAGAAAAACAGCAATATATCCTTTCCTTTTGACAGAGAACTACTGCATGCCATGAAATACTGCTTGCTATGCAGTCAGTTTTGTACACACCTTATAATACATTTATCCGGGTTGTATTTCTCTAACTTTTTAATGAAAATGTCATGTAAGTGTCATAAACATAATCAAACTGACAACAGGCTCTGTCCTATCCATAAGGCCTGTTCCCTGCTGGAGGAGAACATCAAGTTATGTGGTGTGATTTATTTTTGACAGATCCATGTTGGCTGCTCTTGTTCCTTGGTTATCATCTAGGTGCTAGTAACAGTTTGTGAGGTTACTTGTCCCAGGACTTTTCCATGGATTCAGTTAAATACACTTAAATTGACCTGTATTTCTCTGGCTCCAACCCCACTTTGAAAACAGCAATTTACAGTTGCCTCTTCTGATTTTTTTCAGCATCTCATTCACCTTCTTAATTCAATCATTCTTCAGCTGTCTTTTGGTTATGTTCGCTAGACTCAGACTATTTGAAAACATTCAGTTCATCTGACTGCTCCTTATCTGTTCTTTACCTACTCTGGGCTCAGATAATTTTGTCCTCAGTGTCACCAGTCCTAACTATCTGCTTGTACATGGCCCTTTTTGTAAGTCTGATACAACAGAGACAACAATCCATTTAGCTTTCTTCATAATTTATTAACAGATTTTCTTCTCTGTTGAGTAAAGGAATAATAATTTTTCTATCTCTTTCTGAGTACAAATATACATAAGGATAGGTCTTGATAGTTCAATGGTTTTGCAGCACTACCTTTTTTAGTCTTTCTTTCTTATTCTTAATAATTTGACCTGTCTTCCTTTGTGTTTTCTTCATGTACCTAAAGGTCAATGGCGACCTCATGATGTGGTCAGGCTAAGCTTACTGTTATTTCTCTCTTACTCACAACTGGGATAAATGTGCCTTCCAGATTATTTTCTAAAGCATCATTCCTTTTCTTAACTCATTTCTTTAGACTTCCTTCCTATGAGGTCTTAACTACTTACTGCTTAAGTCTTTATCTTTCATGACATCTGTTTTTATTTAGCTGTTCTCTCTCCTTCCTCTTCTGTGGACAACAAGCTGTCATTTTGCAAATGCTCTTTTTTTGCGAGGAAAATGCTGCCCAAAAAACCCCCACAACAACCCCAAACCACTCAACCAAGCCATTATATTCCTGTGACCAGGCCATATTCTAAAGAAATCACACCAGAGATACCAACACCTGACAATGTATTGCTGTTCTAATGAAAGGGGTTTTTCACTTCACCAAAGGAAAACTCAGGAAAGAAGTCTGAGAAACAGACCACAGACACTGCCAAAGGTGAGAGACTGAAAGAAATGCAGAAGCAAGATATAAAACTGCCTGGGATTGCTTCTAGTAGCAGAGTAGTCTTCTTGTATGTGAACGAGGGAGCAGAAGGGGACAGATCTGTTCCAGGTTGCACATGGCAGCAGATAATCAAATTGGCAGAACCCTGAGAGAAAATACTCTGTGCTTATCTTTGTGAGCAGTAAGCCTGTGTTTTAGAAATAGAGGAAGAAAAGAACTGCCAAATGCTGGAGTTAGTGCTGAGCTGCTTGTTTTGAGTATTCAGGCTGTGAGGCAGGCTGGGGCAGTAGGTGTGTGTATAGTGCATGTGTGTCCAGTTAATGCATTTGCAGGAGGTTTGTGCTGCAGGTTTAGATGTTTTGATGAATCAGCAGTGACTGGGAAAGCAGCATTTTGTAGAATTCTTATCAAGCTCTAATTGTGGATAGGAGCCCTTGAAGACCTTGGAAAAGCCTGGTGGGGACAACTTCTTTCCCAAATAGGGACTAATTTCTTCCACAGCAGAATGGCATTCACATACTGCCTCCAGCTTTACAGATCAGGTGCTGCTGCCCCTCTGTCTACATGGAAATCCCTGTGACTCAGCCAGTATTGATATCTCACTGTGTTTTTTTTCAAACTTATTTGTGGAATTAAGCAGACTCAACAGTCTGGCCTGCAACAGTGCTGTCCTAGCGCTGTCCTGCAGAGAAGGGCAGCCCTGCTGTAATGGTCAGGATGGGAAGAAGTGCTGCATGCAGGTTCTGTGAAATAAAATGTGTAGGACGAGACAGCTCTCAGGGGATGTCCATGGCTCTAATCGCCTCAACAACATCCCTGCAACCCACTACTCCAGCTAGATCTCCACAGCCCTTTGCCTTTCAGGTACATGTTTGCAGTGCAACTGCTTCACAAAGCCACAAACCAGGAACCAAACCTGGCTTCTGCTGCACAGGGCTATGTGTGGCACGCGTGGCAGTAAATTGTGTAGGCACAAAGACAAGCAGGATCTGCTCTCTGCATACGGCACCGGGCACCCCTGGCTGCAGGTACTGGGTACGACACTGGGCACCCCTGGCTGCACGTACCTGGGTTAAGGCACCGGGCACCCCTGGCTGCACGTACCTGCTGGTGTCCACACCGGGACTGGCTGGAACCCCACTCGGGTTTGGAGCTGGAGTCCCGCTCGGATTTGACCTTTCCTGCGCGGGCTATTGCCATTCCTTGGCCGACCTATACCTGCTGCAATGGCACTTGAAAAACTTGTTTATCGAGTTATTACTCGCTGCCGAGCGGGTCGGTGAACAGGACCGCGGTGACGGGCACCCAGAACCGTGCCCGCTCCTTCCCTTCTTCCCCAGGGGGCGAACCGTGGGCACTGCGTGGGGCTGACCGCCATAAGGGCGAGGAAGAGGAGGAGGAAGGGGAGCAGCCAGACGAAAGCAGAGGCAACAGGCGGGAGGGAGCCGAGCACCGGGATCGCGCAGCCCGCCGAGGGAGCAGCGGCGAAGGGAGGCGGCGGGAGGCGGGCGCAGCCGGGGCGGAGGGAGGAGCGGGCGGCCGGGCGCAGCCAATTCGGGGGGACACGTCCATTTTTCGGCGTGAGTCAGGCACGTCGGTGGGGTGATGCTGCGGCGCCGGGCAGGGGCCGGGCCAGCCGCGGGGAGCGGCCCGCCCGCTCGGGCCCGGAGTCTCGGCCGTGCCGGCGCTGCCGCCGAGCAGAGCGTTGCTTCCTCCTTCCCGTCCCTTCTCTTCGCCGGAGCCGGCGCCATGGCCGGGGGCGCTGGGCCTGCCGCTCCCTGACACCCGCCAGCCCGCGGAGGTACCGCGGCCGCGCCGCGCCGGGGGATGCGGGGGATGCAGGGAGGGACCGGGCGGAGGGAGGGAGGGAGGGAGGGAGGGGAGGTCACATCTGACCGCGGGTAAGGGCAGCCCTGCACGGTGGGGAAGGAGAGAGCGGCGGGGTGGGCGGTAGAGCCGTGTGGGAAGAGAAGGGGTCCCGGGGCGGGGGGTGTGGAGCTCCGAGGCTCTGGGGCTCCCACGCTCCCTGCAGCTGCGGCCTCTCCCTCCCCGCAGGCTGCTGCGAGCGGGGCTCCCCCGGGCATCGGAAAGGAAAGGAAGGGAAGAATTGCCCTTGCCCCCGGCGGAGCTGCCCCGTTCTCCTGGAGCCCGCGAAGGAAGAACTGCAAAGGGAAGGTCTGGACGTTTCATGTTCCGTCAGCCCGGCAGAATTTTGGCTTTGATTCCGTCTCGCTCGTACCTGTTCCTGGAGAAGAGGCACCGTCCCGCCATGTCTCGCTACAGCCTCCACAACCTCCTGGACTGGATGTATGGCGGGGTGGACCCCAGCTTTGCCGGCAATGGGGGGCCGGAGTGCGCTGCCTTTCTCTCGGGGAAGCAGCGCTTGCTGGAGAGTTTGGTCTTCCTCAGCGTAGGCATCGTGGAGATCCTCCTGTCCTTGGGGAAGCTCAGGCATCTCCACCTCAGGGAGCTGGAGAATCTGCTGCAGCAGCCCCAGACTAAGCAGGAGAGTTTGGGCAAGAACGTGCTGCTGGTGCTGCTCTGCCTCATCTTTGGGCTGGAGGTGGGCTTCAAGTTTGCCACCAGGACTGTCATTTACCTCCTGAATCCCTGCCATGTGGTCACCATGATGCAGGTAAGGCTTGTGTAGGCTCACCTGGAAGTTGGCTGTTGTGGTGTACTTGCAAGGCAGTATTTTTCCCACAGTCTGTTTGTGGACCAAAAATGCATTGCAAAAGTACAAATGCTAAGAATTGATATAAACGTTTTAAAACTGTGGGTTTAGTCAGTTTAAGTGAAATCTCTCAAAAAACCCGAGTCAGGTGAAAAGGTGAAGTTGTAGCTATGATTAATGTCCAAATCTGTGATTGAAAATGTAAATAATTAGGGCTTTCTCACCACTTGCTTTCACCTGATCCTTGTTTCAAGAATAGAAGAGGCTGTTTCCACTGACAGTAGTGCTAAAATTTGCACCAAATCTAATGAGAAGAGGATTATTGTGAAAATAGCTGTGTAATTTATGTGCAACTTTTTCAAGCAAGTTCCTTCTATGGGTGTGAACATACTTTGTGAAGGCGGTGGAGAAACAAATTATTCTCTGTGCAGACAATGTTGGTTTACCTTTCTAATCTTAGAAGCTGAGTAGTAAGGAAACAGGTGTTACCTGTGTCTCATACATGGATTTGAACAAGGTGATATGGCCTGAGACCTGTAGAAAAATCATGTATCTTAATGACTTGTGGCGTGGTTGTTGATGTGTAAAATGTGCAACTTGTGTAGATTTCAAAAGAATGGATGCATAGATAAACAGTTCCTGAACTGGGATATCTAAAGCCTGTAAGAAGCTTGTTTGTTAATAGTCCTGTAGGTGTACTTAACTGTCAGTTCCACTGAGCTTGGTAAGGAGGGTGGGAGACATAAAAAATTTTTTGTTTAATTTTGCTAATGCTGAATCCTCAGCACTGGACAGCTTAGAAAATTCAGGCTCAAGAAATAGGAGAAGAATGTCAAAAAGGCTTTCATGAAAGCTGGCTTGGTAACAACTGTCTAGAATCAGCAAAATTGGATCAGTGCCTTTCTTGGTCTCCCACTGCAAGATGCAAAGTGACCTGGGCTGAGTCAGATCAAACCAGTTGTTAGATTCACAGCTGGAGAGCATTCCTTAACAGGAAGGAAAACACCTTTTCTCATTGTACCAGAGGTTCTAGGGAGATGGGTATTGTTTCAAGAGTGGTGAAGCAAGCTGTTACAGTAGCATTCAAGACCTTCAGAGCAATTAATTTACAGTTCCGGAACTTAATTAGCAGGTTATGTAAATTGCTAGGCTGTGATGCAATGTTTGCTTGGGAGTTTACAGCACAGGACACTTCCTTCCTGTGAAGTGATTGCTGTGCAATCAGTTAGTCAGCATGGGGACTGAAGTTATGGAACAACTATGTAGAAGTAATTACAATGAAATCATACAGCCACATTCCATTTGTAGGCAATACCCAGTGATAACTGGGAAATTTTCCTAGTAATTCTCCAGAAAGGAGGTGAGGTTGTGTTAGAGGTAGGATTTGAAAGTTTAGTTTTTTTTCATGACAGCTTGTTATGACATTCAGCACAACGCTTACACAGCCCTGGGGGAGCAAGGACTGTTCACCTCTTTCAGTAGTGCCTTCCCCAGGGAGATGGAGGCTTGAGCCCTGCAGTCAGGTGTGGGCTGTTCTGAGTCTCTTTTTGACCAATTGTGAAGCTTTTAAAAATAATCCTGTGTTATTAACTCATTAGAAATGGTGTTCCAGCATTTGTGAAACTGAGAAGGTGGGTATGTCAGCGAAATGCAGAGGTTGTGCCCTTCATTTAGAGACAGGCTTGGGCTTAATATAGAGGATAATAATAATGGCAAACCCAACAGCTTTCCACAGAGACACTAAGATAGATACAAGGATAGTCAATGACTTCCATCAGCAGACAAGTAATAGATAGGTGGAATCTTGCAAGCATTGTTTTTTGGCCCAAGTATCCAGAGGGCAACAGGTTGGCAAGGTGAAATGTATGAAAATATAATTTATCCTTCACTTCTGTTCTCGCAGCAGTTTAGTCGTTCAAACCCTGCTGCCTTGTCTAAATAATAGGATGAACAAAGTAGGAGGTGAGGAGATGAAATGTACTACAACAATGCAGATCACTTCAAAGGAAAGCCAACAGTAGTTGTTGTTAGAGATCTCTTCTTTCACTCCATTTCTCTTTTCATTTTCTTCAGCTCAGACTTGTTTCACCTCAGCCACTAAGGCTCTGGGCTCTGAGCCAAAAATATTTGGAACTAGAAATTATCCTTCAGATTTTCTCTGCATAAAAGCAGAAGCTCTGCTCTTAAAAGACCTAAAAGACTGAAATGAGATCAAAATAAAATAGGAGTTAGATGTGTGGTGCATCTGGGCAGACAAAACTGAGTAATGTTGGGCTACTGGGTTCGACAAATGAGTCTGTTTTGATCAGGTGTCTAATTTCTGCCCATCATGCCAACCTCTATTCAAGTGAAGTCTTTTCATAAGTGGAAAGAACTAGCTTAGATGTGTCATTGTAAGGAGGAAGTGTCAATGAAATGAATATATTTAAGTGCCTGAACAGTTGGCGTGGTTAATCAGCTTCAGAGAATTTGTTGCTGCCCTGTCACCTGGTTGAATTATCTACAAGCAGTGATAATCATTTCCAGCCCTGCTCTGGGTTTTGGTTTCTTGCACAGCTTGTGAAGGAAGAAGGGTATTTCTTCACCAGTGTCATAAGTGAGGTGAAAGGGTTTCATGCCTTGCAATGTCAAAACCAATGATATCAAACCAATTTTCTTCATCTGTTCTGTGTTCTTTAAGCTATACATTTTTCTAACTTTTGAATCACAACCCTTGTGTTCGTGTAGCAGTTCTTTATTTCACATTTATTAGGGAAGGAGCAGTTAGAATTTCCATCAAAAACTTGTTCCCCGTTATTTCTGTTCCTGTACCTGTAATTTCTGACACACATATTTTGGGAGGTGTTAGTCACAGTCAGGGTAACTTAATGAAAATGTATAAGCACAAGTGTCTCTTGATGTCCTGTAAGACACCCAGCTGGAGTTAACAGGCAATTAAGATTGAGTTTAGACAAATATAAACCAGGAGCCAGAGCTAGAATTGGTCTGTGTTGTGAAAGAGAATCATAAGGAAAAAAAAAAAGAAGTAAGGGAAAAGCCGTCTAAAGCAGAGGTTGTGGATAAGAGTGTTAGGGTGAAGTGACCTCAAAAGTTCATTTCCAGCCCTAATGATTATGTGATAATTTGAATTTTAGGTTTGTGAAGCTGAGAGTTTTAATTAGGTTTCCCAGACTGTCGTTAAGATCTTCAGTTCTGAACACTGAGGGTTATGACTGACTAGTCTGCAGAAATCAGAAATGTGTGTGCAAGTTTATTCCACCCTTGTTTAAGGACATGCCAGAAACATGTACTCTGTACTCTAATCCTGAAATGATAGGTACACCTAGTCCTTCCCTTAAAGTGTTGTAAATTTTCACCTTGGCTTTTGTATGCCTGTGCCTTCTTTCAGAATGGTGCCTTAATACCAGTCTGTAAAATAAGTTTTGTAATTTTATTCCTTTCGATTTATTATTTTTAGAAAGGGTTTTACAAGAGTCATTTCTCAGTGGTACACCCTCAGCTGGTCAGTTGTTGTAATTCTCTTCCAGTTTTGCTCTGAATTACTGCATTTCAAGCAGTGAAGGACTAACATTTGTCTTCAATAAAGAAAATGTGTTTGGAGGGAGCACCTGTTTTGCTGGATTATTACTTCAAGTGATCTTTTTAGGCAAAGTAAACTAAAGGGGAAGTGGTAGGTGGAAAGAAGTACAGGGGACTCCGGTTTCATTGAGGGATCTTGATCTGATGTTTGCATAACTAAAAACAGTGCTAAGTGCATCTGCAGTTAAGTAAATAGTAAATCCTTTGTTCATTGTTTCCAGTTCTGGCTTCTTTAGAGACCTGGATTATTTCTGTCTTCTGCAAAAGAGATTACTGTGTTTTTGGAAACAATGGGCCGTTTTCAGAAGATATATAATAAACATAGCGAGACTGAATTCTGCACCACTTGGGAATATATCCCCAAATATAACCAATTAATGACTTCCCTCCCCCCCCCCCTTTTTTTTTTCCCTTTTAATTTGTGTACACAGTTCTTAACTGCTTTGTAGTATTTGGAAGAATTCAGTTAAACTGTGTATGATTTTCTATATTCTGTCTCTTCAAAACCTTCACATCCCGTTATTTCGGTGTGACTATGAGGAAGCTTTGATTATCAAAGTTCATTAAATTTTTGTACAAATGATGCTGAATAATGCTACTGAGGTACATGAGCAATGGCCTGCAAGTAAGAGTTTAATGAGTTACTCAGTTTTTAAAGGATAGTGGTATTCTAAGTTGAAGATGTTTTCCAGTAGCTCTGGTTTTAGCTTGTATTTATGTTATTGGGTAAGATGTAGAGCAGCAAAGGCAAAATTTCCTGTTAACATAGATACATTTTTCAAAGTGTAAGTCTCTAAATGTAGGCTTCTAAATCTCACTTTCTGTACTTGTGCATATTTTCCTTATCCACCTGATTTTTGTGTGCACCTCCTACATTCCCAAGCCCAGTACCCGTAATTTTTGTAGCACCGCAGGAGACAGGACTTGGTTTCAGGAGATAAAACTGAAATTTAGTACAATTTGATAAGGATTGTAAAAAATTATTTGAGAACAGCAAGGCAAAATATTTGAGCTCAGAATGATTTACTCCCAAATCAGTCTGTTCAGGAACGTGAGATGGTATAGCGAGGTCAGCTCTCCTTTTGGTGCTCTGGAATGCTGTCTGGTAGCAGAAAATTCACCACTTAAGTGGAAGATTTGCATAATGAGCCTCACAAACATATTGGATTACAAAGCAGTAGCTTGGGTTTGGATCTGCAGAATGCACAAGTCTTTCTTTTTACAGCTGCGAGTTAACCCGTGCTACTTTCCTCACAGCTGATGGCTAGAGAGAGGAGATTCATCACGATGTGTGGTGGAAAAGGGCAGATGAAGGACTAAAGCACTGAAAGCACCGGTGTTTCTGAGCTGCAAACCTCATGTCTTGCAAAAGAGGGCATTTC